CTTCTTGCAGAGTTCAGTGCTTAACACTTCAGTGGAAAATCAAAATAAAGCATAAAATCTCTAGCTATTAGTGCAGTGCTCTCCACGATAGAGAAAATAGTCTTGCTGACCCCTGCAGGGAGTAGAAAATGTCCTGAGGCATAAAAGCTGCTCGCCCCTTTCTTCGGTTATATAGCACTGCACTTCATTACCAGACAGAGAATAACCAAGCCTTTTTAAAAACCTGACCTTGGAATTACAGTGATGAGAGTTGCCTGTGTATTCAAAAAGCTCATTGCATTCTGGGTGCTTAACAAATAAGCATTTGCTTCAGAGATGGGACAAAAAGAAAACCAAAGCTCTGAGCACTCTGACATTCACCAAAGCTGTAACTTGGACCCACTCTGAGATTTCATGGGTATTTTTTAACCATCCACAAGAAAGTATTTGTGAAAGAACAAAATCATCTTTCACACGGAGGATCATTTCTTCTCAAGGGCCAGTCACTGGCAGTTTTGCCACTCCTAACAATGAAATCAGGTTTGACTGGGAGTACTTTCATTTGGATGGTCAACCCTGGGAAATTGACTTTGGTTTTCATTTGTTTCAGCAACACAGCAGGATCATTGTGGCTAGCATCCATGCAAGCTTCTCATCATTCCACTGCCAGCTATCCTTGCCACTTGTAGCCACTTGTAGGGCTGATGGTACAAACAAGGAGGCCATAATATGGACTAGTAGCATTAGAAACAAAACTGAGGCCACCAATTAGCCAGAGAAGATTCCTTCCAGACTGGAATCACAGTAATGATGTACAGACACAAATTCCAGGTTACCAAAGTATTGAGTCCCATCAGTAGGTCTAATCTTTGTATTCCCTGTTTTTTTTCTCCAAAGTTATCATTGCTCAGAAGTAACAGGGGAAAAGGATTCTAGACTTTTATCTTTAAAGGGATTTATCAGAAGTTGGTACCGGAATGAACCACAAAGGAATTGTTAGCCAACCTATTCCCTCTCTTTAGAGGTCACGAGTTTCACTGGGCCCTGCATGAAGACTTTCGGCACACCCATTCACATAGGCAAGATTAGCTCCAATGCAGAATGAGAATTAAACATGGAAATGATCCTAAACAAGAAAGAGAAGTAGAAAGACGTAACTGCAAACAGTTTTGATTTACTTAAAATGAAGATGCTGTAGGCTGGATCCTAAACTGTTATATATCAGCAGGATGCAATGCAAGTCAGTTTACACCGCTTATGGATCTGGTCTAACAGGCCTACATGCTTTTTTCCTCTTAAACTCCCTCTCTGCACAACAGACCTTGGGCACAGTCAGGTCATGGCAGAGCTCAGTCTTGCCTAGTTTACAAGAAAATAAAGACATAACCGCTAGAGGGAAGCAAAAGCGTTGCAGTTCAGCAAGCCAGCTCTCCAGACTTCTTGGCAAAGCTCCCCAGGGCTTTCATTGCCACTGGATTCAAATATAAATCGGGGGGAAAATGAGAGTGGGTATTTTCAGCGGCATTTCTGAGCAATGTGTGTTTTATACAGGGATATTATTCTACAGGTCTGTAGGAATGAGGCACTGTTGTATTTCATAAGGGAGGGGAAGAGAGAAGAATAAAGGACAACATTCATGTTGTCGCTCCACAGGGACTGCTGAAAAGAAACGAGAGGCTTGTAAGGCAAAACATTTACCAACAATGTCAACAGATGCACACAACTCTAAGGATTCAGAGGAATGAAGAGCATCTCTTCTGATTTCAGTCTTCCTTTTCCATCTAACCCAGATCTATTGATGACTGTTCAGTTACTGCTTCCAAAAATTTGATGCATCTCAGTCCTGTTGCAGGGAGTTATAACGATGGAAGAACTAGCAGACTCTGAATGAACTATGTTCCTGTCCTTTCAGTGTCTCTCAGCAACAGCAAACCTCAAGCGAAAATCAGGTACTGGCATAGAATGGCGTCAATCTAACAAATGCAGAAATGCTGCTTCTTCTGTTTGGAACACAATTGTACTTTAATAGTCTAAAGCAACGATCAAAACAGTGGAGAAGAGTCAGCAAAGAAGTAAAACGTTGCAAAGGGTAACACAAGCTGTCAGAACAGATGAAAGTTGGTGCGAATCCGAGATATGAGCTCTAACTATAAAGATACATCTCTTGCAGTAGGTGTTAGAGGATCTTTAATGATCTAATCACTGAAAGTGCTTTAAGCACCAGTTAATCATCTAATCCATTCCTGTGCTGTGTTTCTGAAAGCTTTGCAGTGTTTCTGCTACATTCATCACTGTCCAAAATTGCCATCATCCGAACCATGATGTCTGACTTGGAAAGGTACATTTTGGGTTTTAGAAGCCAGAAGAACTGGAAGCAATGACAGTAGCAAGAAAATGAAAACCCAGCCCAATCAGTTTACTGTTCATGTGCCAGGGAGGCAGTTCTGCAGAAAAAAAAAAAAAAAATCTCCTTTTGAAGTTACTGTAATTTCTGCTTGAGAAGGCTCTCCTGAACACAGCTCCAAAGCAGCCCATCAAATCAATGAGTGATATCAAGCTGGTTTTGGTGAAATACCTTTTTCTCCATCATGTGTTTGCTGTAGGTTAAGTCTTCAAAAGGAAGTTTCCATGGAAGTTTCCTTCACCAGTTTCCTTCAAAAGGAAGTTTCCATGGAAGTTTCCTTCACCAGTTTCCTTCTGGTGGAAGGAAGAGGTGACACCTTCTAGCTAAGACCTCATTTGTTGCTAACGCACGTAAGCAAGACGCTGTGGGTTAGAACGTCAGTATACCCCCTCTGAAAACTCAACGCTCCCACACTTTTTCTAAAGTCCTCTTAGCAGTAAGCATGGAAAATCAGTCACTATTGCACACATGCACTTTCAGCACAGCCAAGCACTTTCAAATATTTTTGTGAGATGCACATCTCACCAATGAGTTCAGTAGGTCCATCCCAGCTCCTACTCATCATGGCTCAATCTATTTTCTCTCCACAGCCATTTTCTGATCCTCCTACCTCTTCTTACTAGCTGCAGCACTTGCTTAAATGGAGAGAGCCAGGCTTGGAAAACTTCCTCGTGGCAATTGTTTTCCAAGCAGCTGATCGGCAAACTTCAGGGGCCACGTATGCATTTAGAAACTTGACCTCAAGGGAACAGTGGGTTTTTGCTTAGGAATGTCTATTCGGATCTTTATCTGACTTCTGCCAGGACCCCATTGTTTCTTCTTCCCCTCAGAAGTTTCTTCTGTTAATGACTAGCAACTCTCCCTCCACTGCCAAAACTCTCTTCCCAGTTTGGGAGGCAGAGAGAAAACAGGAACAATCTGGACTTCATTTCAGACAAGTTGAAGGCAATGAAAATATTTAATTTCAGAGGGCTGTGGAGCAGGATCTGTGGTTGCTAAATTAGCTTTTCCTTGTTCCCAGCTGCTTTCCTTGAACATCAGACCCATTGCCTACAGAAACAGAGAGAAGTAACAAGAGGTCCTAGTATCAAATAACCAACAGTGCCTGGTCTGGAGACTGCCAGGAGAGACCCACTGTACCAGCATAAAGGAATAGTCCTTAAAGCATTAATGACCGCCCCAGGACTGGCTAAGGCTGCACAGTAAGAACTCACTCTTCAAGATAACTGCGTAATCGCAGATGCCCTTTCTGCAGGCTCCCTCACCTGTGTAAGGAAAAAAAAAACCGCCATGCTGGATTTAAGGAGGAATTGGGCAGTTTGTATGTGCATCATGTCAGATGAGTAGAAATATGCAGGCCTGCGAACACTGCATTTGTATTTTTTTTAGCTTACAGAAAACTACCCTTGAGCTCCATATTTCCCCAACAATGAACAAATATAGAGATCCTATCCAACACGTGTCATCTGAGTCCAGCAAAACGCTGGCATCTCTGGTTCCCAGCATCAACAGTATAATTTGAAGAAATTTTCTGTGGCATGGTGCTGTACTCTGCCTGTGGCTTTTAAGAAAAAAACAAAAAGGCAAATTTAAATCTTTGGAAAATGCTGTTGAGTTTCATGTTCCCAATGGAGCTGGCACCAGTCCCAGGATGATCTCACCTGCCCAAAGTATCTTTTTCAGCAGCTCTCATTTGGCTTCCTCTCACAGTGAAGAATCTGACTTACAGGTTATAACCATGACTGATGACCGGTAAAGTCCCACAGCACTACCATAGTTTGGATAAGATCTTTATTGCACATGGCCCCTGACTCCAACTGTTCAAGAATTCTTGTCATTCATTCCTTGGGCACCAGGAGAGCCCAAGCAGAAGGAACTACTCCCCATCTTTGTGTCCCCACCCCTTCTTTTTTTCTGGTCCGCTGAGAGAGCACAAGGAACCATCACAGGATGATTCACCCCATTGAAGAGGTGGTATGAACTGGCTGGAGACCAGCTGTAATATGGTTTCCAATCAGGTAAGAGAGAAGACAATACTTTCACTAGAGTCAGGCAGGCTGGTCAATAATCTTAGTTTGGTAAATGTGCTTCTTTGCCACTTTTTAGTTTCATATCCTGCTTTGATCCCTCAAGTTCTTGTACCTGCGCCCTGCACTGTCCATCCAAGCAGCACTTCAAACTGTTTCCATCAGTGTCCCTGGAAGAACTCTGTCACACCAGCTGGGATACTACTCAGTGGCTGGCAACCCTCCAAGAGCAGAATGTGCAGAAGCAGCTTTGCGAGGTGTTAGTTCTGCAAGGAGAGGAGGAATCTGAACTGGGAGCAAAATGAATAACTGTGCAGTTAACTATTCCAGCAGGATGTTATCTTCCCTGCTGATCCTGCAGAACTCTGTACTGTGAAGGAGCTGCCACCCTTCTCTGTGACAGATGGTTTGAACTCCACGTACAGCCGAAGACCTGTTCATTATGCAACCTTTTTGGAGAGCTAAATTTTGTCTATGGGCCCCATGACGAAGTCAAATGGTAACGGTCCATGTGCAAGCCATGCTGAAATCACTGGAGTAACTAATTACATCAGGTCTGCACTTTGTCAAGCACTTTAGGATGCTCTGAGATGAAACATGCTGCATAGCTACTGGGAAGAATGAGCTAATGGTGGATAACAGCTTAGATAGCATCTCAAAAGAGCAAGAAGTAAAATCAACCTGAACGTGAAACTCCATTATATTCTCCTTTATTTCTTAAATGTTAGGAGAGTTATACAACCAACTGATGAGTGATAACAGTTAAGTAACAATAATAATGAAAATTAATTCTGTTACAGCAAAGAGTAAAATAAACTTTATGGACCCAGTCCATAAAGTCCAGACTCAGTCTTGAGAGGAAGCAGAGTGTGCACAGAGCTGAAAAGAGGGGATTTATTTCTTGTCTCCGTTATGTAAGTGCCATGCTGTGTCTCTTTTGGCAAACCAATATTGCACTGTGTAGCTCTGTATCCTCAGTTCTGCTCTCCCCTGCCTGTAAGTCTTGGGCTCTGTGTCATCACCAAGTAGCAGAAATGTAAGATTGTGTTGGGGGCGTTGTTTATTTGTGTCAGCCAAAGTGCTCTCCTTTACTTTGCATTCTAAGTTGTCATCATTAGTTTCCAGGCTGAAATCAAAGGGTCCACCTGCAGCACCACCTCAGACCAGAAACATGCTTTAGAGCAAATCTTCTGACTGTTTCCACACAGCACACTTTGGTTTGCATTTTGAAGCGGCCTTAACGTGCACAAGCTGAATTCATTTCAGAGGAAACTAAACTAAAAAAAGCATGCTCCAGCTACTAATAGTTTCAGTCCAAAGATCAGACTGGTGCAAATCAAAAGTAACCTCCCTTTCCGAAAACACATAAGGTGTGGGTGTCAGGTTCTCAAAACCACCGTTCCACTCTCAGATTTGCTTGTATGGGGCTGCACAACTTGCTAACATAAGTAGAGCCTAACACAGACCAAAGCTGTGACCGCAGTGGAGGAAATGCCACCTGCTTCACTCTTCACTTTGTGAAGTCACATACTATATAGCTGCAGGCACCCCGAGCATCACACCTGTCAGTCTCACCTATGGGGTAGACCACAGCACTTGGAAGGTTCTAATTTGCAAAACCATCTCCCCTTTAAAGCGCCATTTTCAAGTACTATGAGGCAGCTGTACAGTTTAGCATTAAAAAAGAAAATTCACTTATTATTTATATAATCCCTCTTCCTTTAGCTTTTGTATAAGGATTGTTCATCTATAGAACTGCATGAGCTCAATAACTCTTCAGTTAAGACCTCACTGGCTTATGGAAAGATTTTTTCCTTAGACTCTTTGAAATGGACTCCATCCTCTTCTCCTTTTTCCAAGTCACTGATCCCACACAGGTGCCTTAGTCTTTTATCTGTACTTACTTTCCCTTCTGCAGATGAGCATTTCTTCTATTTATGTCCAATTAAGATCATAACAATATCATCTTCATTCATCTAAGCCCAGGATTTGTACACACAATACTCTCTCTTCCCCTGCAAATTGTCATGCAATGATAAGAAGAAAGAAAGAAGAAAACAGATCGAGGAGTAGCAACACCAAATGAAACATGAACACAGGTGAAATAAAAAAACTGTATGGTAGTTTTCCTATCAAGATACATCAAGTAAATCATGAGAGAAGGATAGCATTTTCATTACTCCAAACACAAGGACCAAAAAATATCAATTCCAGGAATCGTAATAAAACTTAAAATAAAGAATCCTTTTCCTTATGAAGAAAGCTTTTGGAAATTTCTTCCTTCCAAAGAACCAAGATAATCTGAGACCAATTGGCATTTAGCATAACCCCTTTTAAGGTCACTGCTGTATCCTTGTTCAACAACAAGAGCTTACCGTCCATAACATTCTAATTATCCTATGAGGTACATTCAATTCTCTTGCCTTCATTGAGCTGTGGAACTCACAGAGAAGTATTTAGCATAAAAATTCTATTATTTTAACTAACTGAACATAAAATGCATGTCTCAGGAAATCAAGATTATAATGGGGCAAAGCCTGCCAAGGGCCTATGAAGTGACAGACTTCATATGACTATGAAGTCTACTGAGATGCAGCATTCCATTGGTAGAGCAATAACAGTGCTTTAAGCAACTCAGGCAAAGCACATTTAGCATTCTCAAAGTGCTGAGCAAATGTTAAAACATTGTTTCTCCCAGTTAGTGTTCCATATCAGAGCGAGAAAGGCTGAAATGAGAGATGGGAGAAAGAGAAAAAACTAATCTGTCTAGGATCTCGCTGAATCTCTAGCGGAGCGCAAACAGAACCCAGTGTTTCTGCCCCTCCGTCTAGTGACTTAATTGCAAGTCCAGCCTTCTTCCAATTTTCACGTGCAAAATCAGCTACATACACTTCATGCCAATGCTAAAGACCAAAAGAATACAAAGGACATACGTAAGGGACCTAAATGGCTTCTCACCAGTATTTGAGGGCAAATAGCCTTTGATAATTCCTCCGCATTAAACAAAAAAAGGCCTTCTCCAGCTCATTATTTAGATTTCTTTTTTTCTGTTTTCAATAGTTTGAAAATACAACTAGTTATCCAGCAGTCTGGCCTGGATCTCTTTTTCCCAGAATTTTAACTTGCTAAATTACATACTGGATGTGGCAGGCTGCTTTTGAAAACCACCGTCCTGATCTTCAGTGCAATCACATACACACATCCCTCTCCTGAAGCAAAAAGGGTTATAATCCCAACTTGGTCTCCCATCTGAATCAGTCTAGGAAATGTCTGACCATTACCCATATTCGAGCTGGTGATCAAAGCAACTCATAAAGCTCTTTTTAGTGCCTGTTTCAGAGAACATATTAATTTCTTTCCCCTTAAGCGATTTTGCAGCCTGGCAGTCAAATAAAATATTTAAATGCCTCTGGAGTTTATGAGTAACCCCGTTTCGAGCTGGTGTCTATATGAGCTATGCTAAGCAATGTGAACTGGCAAGTAAAGATCTCCAACCTTTGACTCACAGACATGAAAGGGAGGGAGAAAGACATTAACGGTGATTACTTGAGACTGTGCCACCCTGATGGAATAACCAGTGCAGCCTTATGCACCTGCAGGAATGGGGCTTGGGTTTCAGTCAGGTCCAGCCAAAGGCAATCTCAGAATGGCTGTCTACGTTTGGGGAAGGGCAGAAAAATAAAATAGGAGCCTGGGCCCAACCCAGGCCCTACTTCCCACTAGCCATGGGTCTGCCCCACTTAAGCACTTTTATAGGGGTGAATCCTAAGTGAGGATAAAGGCAGCTAATTGGAAATCACAGAAACTGTCTAGACAATTGTGAAAGGGCTAAGTAAACTAAAAGATAAGGATCTGCCTGGCTGCAGCATAGGAAGGCTCATCTCCATTCTACCATTTTTCTATTATTATTTTTAATATTTGAAGGCATTAAACATAATGCCCCTCAACAAATAATTCTTCTTTAATAAAGTCCTCACCAGCACATTGTGGTCCATTTTTCACTCTTATGGCAAGCGTGCATTGAAGTACTCACATCCTGGGTTCTGAATAGATGATACAGCTCTTCTGGTACATAGGAGGCCTCACTCACCACTCTTCTGGCAGAGAGCTAGGGAGCTGAGCTCAGCTTCAGCGTAAATGGCTGCAACTCAGCCATTTATCGCACTCACTGTAGTGCAGCCCTGAGATGCTGAGTCGTACTGAGCCCTACCACACAACAGCAGAGATCAGTGTTGTTTGTGGGAGGAGAGAGAGGAGGTCTGAAATGGGATGTCTGACAACACTGGCACAATAAGACAAGACACCTAGGTTGGTAAGGGTGGAAAGAAATGGGGCAGGTATGGGATTTGACATGGATTCCTACTCTGCTGAGACCCATAGTGCTAGACAGTTCTCAAACCAGCCCTGGGCTCTTGTAGCATATGTGCTCATGCAGTGGGCACCTTCACCCAGTCGCGACAACATCTCTTTCCAGTTTGGCCAAGAAACTTGTGCCCCTATTAGGCAGCACTGACATATTCCCAGGTAAGTGCTGAGGCTGCTTACAACAATGGCTGAGACACATACCATACTAGGCAGCAGGTCATGTTTCCAACTGTTTAGCTGATAGACTGAGAAGCTTTCCTTGAACCACAACTACTTGGTCACCAGCAAAGACCTCAGGATTCTCCATCCAAAGGAAGAAATCCATGCTGAGATACCAGCTGCAAGAGAGCATTGCTCAAAGACCAAAACTGCATTATCACCCTCACAGTAGTTCCACACAAGCTCTTCTTCACACTTCCACTGTTCACAACACCCTGGAAATCCTACCCCAGTTCCATTCAGGCACCAAGTTCACATGCAATGCCTCCCTCCTCCATTCTCCTCAGACTACCAAAGAGAAGACTAGCAACTGTTGGCACTTTCACTCTTACACAACACAACAAGAACACAATAAGAACACAAGCCACTGTCATCATGCTCACAGTAGGGAAGGCCTTCCTTTCTTACAATGTCCCAAGGACCAGGCGTGTGCCTTGGTTTGAGAATAGTGCCACAGCATATCCCAAGTAGTCAGAGGAGCTGTGCTGAATTGTCATTTTCTGTAACAGCTTTCTGGCTTTCCTGACACTTTAACTTGCTTGGATTACAACACCGAATTCTCATCTTTCAAATGTTTGGGCATCTCCAGCTGACTGTTCGTTTGTGTAACTCCTCTTCAGCCCACAGCCCCGTATCTCAGGCATCTGCTCCCCAAAACAATGCCAAAAATCTACAAGAATAGTATCATCTGCCTCCTCAGCTCTTCTTCTGGGAGCCTGGCCAGTGAAAATGCCTGATAAGGTATTTGGTGGAGTGTGTTGTTACTCTCGTTCCTCATGGTCTGCCCTTGGGAAGTTAGTCCTTTTAACAATCTGTTTACCTGTGTTGTAATCATACCTTTGTTTTGATGCGTACACACACTCTGTGTGAGCAGGATCCACCCAAGGACTGCAGGAAAAATCACATTCCAGATTCCACAGAGGAGCTTAGCCCTCTCCATAATGAGATTTTTGGTTCTGATCTAACTGACACTCGTATTACAGCACTGTAACTCCATCAACTTCAGCTGAAAGTGTCTGCTCATGCCAAATTTGATTTGGTCTGCCGTGAAACAAAAACAAATCAACAGACAAGCTTAAAGTGAGAAATACAGAGTCACGCTTTGAGAGCTCTTTGGAACTAACCCACACACTGCCATACGACAGTAGCAAGCAGCCGAATTTGTGTGCCTCCCCTTTCCCTGTAAAATAAGGCTACTTAAATTTCCCCATTTGTATAATGGGGATATTTACATTGTCCTTTGCGAAGGGGTGACATAGAGACTGTTTGTAGTTTACCTGGATTATTTAAAGTGCGAAGTGACAGTACTGTTCCTCCTGATTTACGCCAGCATATGGGAGATCACAGTCAGGCCTTGCTATTATTTTTCTGATGAATACGCTACATGGAAAAATGCCTGATATAATGATGGCTCAGGGTGGTGGTGCAGGTTTGGTTTATTTAAAAGCAAAACGTCTGCTGATGCAGCTTATAAAAATCATTGATGCATAAGAACAACAATAATATCAGAAAGAAAAGTGTGTGTGTTTGTGTGTGTGTGTGTGTGTGTGGGTAGAGAGAACAAAAGAAAAGGCCACCAAAATCTATCCTAAGTGCATATAAGACAGATCATCTAACTCTTTCAGGAAGCACTTGCAAATACCCTGGTGCTCAGTGGGGACAAAGCCTATATCAAAACTCTAAGGTAACTGGAAGGACATAATAATAAGAAAAGGCATCTCTTTTCCTTTTATCTATCTTTGACTGCAGCTTCTGGTCCAGCCAGCAGCTTGAGAATGTCTTCATTTACAATATTCCTTCCTGAAATCTGAAAGTAAAGTGGAATGGAGGTTAGCACCTGGAGAATTCAGACCATCCAAAGCAGCACACTGTGACATGGGCTTAGCTATACAGGGACAGGCAATTATTTGCAGTCAATCATGTTTCCAATATCCTCTTCATAAAGCCCACAGTGAGTTATATGGTGTATAAATTATTGCCCAGATCATCTCCGCGGAATCTAGACAAAAGTCATGAGAGCTCTATCAAGAACAGCAGATCTAAGGGAACACCTGAACTCTCTAGATCATCCCCTTTTTGATCACACGAACTGTATTCTAAATTCACATGACATGGAACCAAATCGTCTTCTTTCAGGCATTGGCTTTTTGTAAGTGCAACCCTGCAAACTGTGGGGTTTTGGAAACTCTGGATTAATACTGGAAAAACAATAGGAAACTGAGCTCCTGGGGAGGGAGAGCTGTCTGCTTTTGTTGGATGAGTTAAGTGACTGTCCATTGTCCATAAATGAATTAAAGTTAAAACACTCTCCTCCTCACACTTCTCACACAATGTTTTCTTCCCAAACTCCATAGCATTTTTGAGATCCCTTTCTGAGGTTGTACAACAGGGTGCACTATTCCAGCCCTGCTAGGCACTCTTTTTCCAATTAAAAAAAAATTCTACTTGTGCCCTGCCAAAAGCTTCTAAAAGCCTAATCACTACTTGCATCTTGTGGCTTCATGATGAAAGGGCAGGAAGGGAAAAGGCTT